ACGTATTTTGCTGGCACCTCGGGGTTGTGGTTGGGGTTCAAAGTGGCCACAGGTGTTGTGGCCCCAGGGCAGAGCTGTGATTGGCACACAGCATTTTGGTGCCCACGCGCCCAGACCTCCCGCAGCGGGGTCTGGAGCCAGGCGTTCCCTCCCGGCTGCCCCACAACTTGGCCTAGAGCTACGTCTGCACAGGCGCCTGTTCAAACAGCATCGGGGCAGGCAAGCTGGGGCTTGAGAGCAATGCTGGGGCTGAGAGGTGGCAACCTGTGCTCCAGGAGCTCCGGTGCTTGCAATCATGCACTCCCCTTCCCGCTGGACCCAGCAGTGGGGAGAAGGTTAGCACCCACCTGCCTGCTTTCGGCTTCCAGAGTGAGATGTCACATCCCAATGGGTGCGGGGCAGTCTGTACCAATGTCACTGGTCATGGCAGATAATGCAAAGTATGCTTAGAGTCCTGTCCTGATTTTCCTTTACCAACAAGGAAAGGTCCCAAGGTTCAGCAAATCCCACACTTTGCTCAGTCGGGCACTGGTGCTGCTGCCCAGAGGAGTTGTGGACACCCCATCTCTCGAAGTATCCAAGACCAGGTTGGATGGGCCCTGGGCAACCTAATCTGCTGTGTGGCACCCCTGTCCACAGCAGAGGGGTTGGAGCAAGAGGATATTTCAGGTCCTTCCCAACCCAAGCTGTTCTGTGATCCTATGATTCCCAATGGCATCCCCAAAATAGGACAGTGTTCCCTGAGTAGGCTGGGGTGCAGGCCTGGCCAAAAGGGTCTCGTGCTGTGCCACAGCTCACTCAGGCACATGCATCCACCCCATGCCCACCCAGCAACACTCCCTGGGCAGCTCATACCAATGCAGCACAAACATGCTCCAACACTCCTCCTTTGAGCTCCTGGTTGCTTTCCTTGCTGGATCCCACCCCTCCACCCACCTCTACAGCACGCTCCCAACGTGTCAAGCAGGGCAGCCCCTGGGCTTTGCTCTCCCCAGCACAGCCGTGGGGCTGCCAGGGCCTCTCTGTGCCCATCGCCGCTGCTCACCTCCAGCAGGGCAGTAGGCACATGCTTTCCTTCCCTTGCCTTTTCCCCACGAAGGAGGTCACACCCTCTGATTACCTAACAGCAGCCGGCTCTCGGCAAAGCAAACAAACTTGACATTCACATAACCTGCCGCGCTCTCTCCGGCAGGGATTATTAAGTCATTAGAGTCTGTTAGCAAATTTTCCCAAATACCTTTTTCGCTTCTTCCCAGGGGCACCTTCATGGTTAACGATCCCAAACTGCAGGCTGGGCTGAAATCCATCCACTGCAGCTCGGCGACCGTGGGGGTGTAGGAGCTGCGGAGGGAATGTTGGGAGCTCCCCCCAGGGCATTCCCCTGTGAGGATGCTCAACTCTGAGCACCCCGTGAGCAGCAGAGCCCAAGGAGGGGTTTTTTGCAGATGCAGCAGCCCAGAGAGGGCAGGGAAGGGGTGAGGTGTCCCCCCGGCAGGGAGGTGACCCCCATCTTCCCCCAGTAACACACACCCGCTTTTCTCCTTCGCTGAGCTGGCAGCCCAGGGCGATATTTCTAACAGGCAAGTGTATTGCCTAACTGGAGACAGAATAAAAAATAATCATAAAAAACCAGTCAGGCAGGCCAGGTCAGTGCAGAGGAGATAGGTTTCACCCACCTGCAGCTGACTTGCCCTCTCGTTCTCAGGCTGAACAGTGTGTACATCAACAGCCTGATGAGATGCAGTTTGGTAACTCAGGGCAGCAAGCCAGCTGTGCCCGTCCCCGGAGCCCCTCAGCGTGAGCAGCCCTGATCCCAAACCCACCATCAGCTTTGTGTTGGGGTTTATCCCATAGAGCTCTTTGGAGGTGGCTCCCCACGATGGATGCCCCGTGCCCCCCATGCTACCCAAACACCCGCATGTTGTGTGCTGCCTCGAGAGGAGAGGAGCTTGCAGGAATCCCCGGCATCTGCAGCCTCTCCCCAGGGCGCTGCTGGGGAGGATCTGCCAACAGACACCAGGGTTTCTGCAGCCCAGGGGCTTGGCGAGAGCCAGGAGGAGAGGCAGAGCATCCAAAGCCCAGGGGCTCACATGGCACAGTGTGTGTTCCATCTCACCAGCCCCCCAGGTTTTCCATTTGCAGCAGAAGCCAGGTCTGAGGGAAAGAGTACAGCTACCACCTTAGGCATAGGCAAGCAGGGAACACCAAGAAATGCCTCGTATTTCAGTCCCAAGCAGTCTCACACATTTGGGATTGATTAAATAATTACAAAACCCTCATCTGTTTCTATTCATATCAATAAAACCAGAAATGACAATAAACCTATTTGCTGCAAACATCACCTCTGGGCTAGCTCTATACAGAAACACACTTTCTGCTCGGATACCACTATGGTCCTTTGGCCAAAATCTCTCAGCAGACACAACCAGGCCATGCTTCCCAACCCAGGCCATCAGCATTTTTGCTGCCCTGGAGAACCACATCGCTGAGATGTCATTTGGGACGGAGTCACCCAATCCTGCAGCCCCTGCAGGAACCCAATCCTGCATTCCTGCAGCTGCTGATGCATTTTTAGGACCACAGCACCGAGTCCCCAAGGTTAAGTTGCATGGGAAAGAGAGAAAGTGCCCCTCTCCACTCTTGTCCTTAAGGCGGTGGGGGTGGTGATGGAAACTGGCGGTGCTGGGTGGGGATGCAGAGAGGTGTTGGCAGCAATACCTTCATCATGGAAAAGTCTCTGATTTCCCAGGCAAATGCAAGAGCCACAGAAGCTGGAACCACCTTTCCCTAAAGCCTTTCCCCAACCCCTGCAGGCACAGAGGGAATGGGGTCTGTGCAATGGGTTGGGGGGGAAACAGCCCAGCCCTGAGGCAGCTCCCAGCTCCACACCCAGCCCAGGACACAGCAGGACCCCCACAGGGGAAAACTGCTCCTCCTCGCCTAAGGTGCTCACAGAAAGTGATTTGTCACATGTGCCTGTTTGCTTCCAAAATAAATCTCCCTTAAAGGCAGGTAAATCTCAGGCTGGATCTGTTAGATACCCTAATGTGGCATTAAGCTGAAGTTAAGGTTATATTCCTCCAGGGATGCCAGATGGGATTTGCTTTCCTTGAAGACAGGACACGTATTTCAACTCTAATGGGTTGATGGAGCCCCTTTTATCTTGTAAATATGAATGAGGAAGGGGGAGCTATTAAATAAATGGAGGGGTTTTACCTGAGCCTTTTTCCCTGTCATCGGTTTGGACTGTGTTAAAGATCTTTGTTTTCTCGGTGGAAAACTCGCTCAATCATTCAGAAAGGAACTAAATGCCTTTTGAGAACATAACCTTTATTTTCCAGATAAATGGCTCACTCTGAGCAATTTGCATGTGGGAAGCTAGCATACAGTGCAGTAAATACATATATATATATATATATTTAAAACCCAATAGCAATGTAGGTCACGGTACAAACATCAACTGCTGAGATGACTTCTCTGGGGCTGGAAAGTTAGGGAGCTCAAGGCAATTCAAAAGGATGGGGAGCTTTTATGCAGCAGATCTGCATAGGGCTGAGCGGAGGGATGGATCTACATCATCTCAGTCTAACCAAATAAATGAAGCCCACCAACCCCACTCTGCCACCTTCATCCCCAGGGCTGGGTTTACAGTCCCATCACAGCCACTCTATCTTTCCCCCAAGCTCTCTCCACCACTGGTCCCTGACACCTATCACACAGATCCAGTGGCACTTGGTCATCACTGCCCCAGCACTGTGATTCCATGGCCACATCAATGGCACAGGGACGAGCCACCACTCCCAGAGACTCCAGCAACAGGATTCCCTACAGCACTCAACTCAGTGCCTCCCACAACAGCTCCTCACCTCCCGTATAAGCATTTGCCTGCTGGGAATGGACCCATTTGCCCAACCCAGAAATACTCCCAGACCTCCATGGCTATGCAGACCCCAGTCTGAAAGCCACCACCACCTCCTGCGAGGTAGGAAAGGACCTGCAAGGCATTCCCTCTCTCAGCACTTCCCTGCTATTGCAGTGGGCAGAGCTGCAGCCCTGGGAAAGGCACTGGGAGCCGCCGCCAGCAGCTGCAGCACGATGCCAACTCCAGCTGCTTGTTAATTATGGTAACATGTTGTCTCATGTACGCACCTCCGCGAAGACGCTGTATTAGCTTGATAAGTATTTAACACTTGGCACAGGGGGGGATTTCCACTTAGCATCCAGCAGGGCTGAGCAGCAGGGAGGCAAGGTGGCACGAGCAGGGCACTGGGAGAGGGCAGGGCAGGAGGCGGCAGGTTCTGGCAGCGGTGGGGACTGAGCCTTGCATGGGCTGGGTTAGCGCTGCTGGCGATGGGGCTGTGTGGGATCCCAGCTTTTGTAGCCTCCTGCCACCACGCTTCGTGCTCAGAGCTGCCTCTGCACAAAGCCCAGACTGCTCTAAGCTTAATCCGTCTTGCAAACGGGTATTGTCATCGCCGGTGCCTTTCTTCAGCAGGCTTTTCTTGTTGGCTCTGCATGGCTGGCCGCTGTGTAGCTCCCGTTGTGCTGATGGCAGGAGAACCACACAAACACGTGTTCAGGTCCAACGTGCTGCTCGCGAGACATCTTCATCTGCAGAGCTGCCTGCCTGTGCTGAGCCACGGGAAAATGAGCCAGAGGTATTCCTGTGGTCCAAGGAAATTTCCCTCCTACATGACCAATTCTGGGCAGGGCTGGGGATGATCAGACCGTCCTCATCTCCAGGGCTCATCACAGCCCCCCAGAGCCAATCCGCCATGCTCTCCCCACACCTTACATGGGGCTGCAGACAGCACAGCAGCACCATCTCCCCTCTTCATTAGTAGGTTGCAATGGCCTCTTCCAAAGGTCTGAATGCAGATAGATCTTTTTTTTTTCCCCTGAATCAAGATCAGTAATTATGAGTCAGTGTTAGCACAGAGCCGGTGAGTCAGGCACAAAAGCATTTTTCCCTCTCACCCTCCAGGTCTAAGGTACATCACTCGCCTGAGCCTCCCGTGTGTGGTCTTCATTCAGGGCTTTCACAAACATCATTAGCAATCCATGAGCGAGTTCAGCAACAACCCACAGCCAACGCTGCCACCTCCTCTTCAGCACCTGGGAAATACACAGGTGGTCCCCACCTGCTCTGTGACAGGGATGCAGAGCAGAAATTTCAGCCTTTCCTACAGAGCTCTCCTCACTTTCAGGTTGGCAGCCAATGCCCAGTGTCATGGTGAGCATTGGCCCCAAAGGTGTCCAAGCCCAATGCATCCCCAGCACCTGGCTCTAGCAAAAAGGGCTGCAGGCACACTGGTGCCCTTTCTCTTCAGCAGGATGGTACCCAACAGTCTGCATGTCCCCAGCTCCAGAATCCTGCTTCTCAAATACCACAAGCCCCTGTCCCACAGCCAGGGGAGGGATCTGAGCTGGGGACACAGCCCAGCCCAGCAGCGCAGACCCCCAGCAGCCCATTCCTCCCTCCCAGCTGCACACCCCAGAGCTCCCCTGCACAGATGTGCACTTACTTGCCTTTGAGCTCTGGTGGGTTACTAGAGGGTGCATATTGCCTGCCCGCTCCCTTTGATGCCGGACTCATCTCCTTACCCATCTCTGCTCCTTACATCTCTATGGAATTTAACTGCATCCTTCCCATTGATGGCTGCCCGCCTTGTGCCAGAGCAAGGACGCTGCCCAGCACCAAGCACCAGAGCTACGCATGCATGGGAGGACCCCATATGTTCATTATTTGGGCTAGCTCAGAAGCAAAAAATAACATGAGAAGGAGCTGTCAGCCTCCAGCTCTGCACCGAGGAGATGAGCCCAGCGGACGCATTTGCTTTCTTTTCCTCAAAGCACGCAAAACCCCAACAAAACAGACTTTGTTTACAGCCCGTCCTGTAAACCGCTTAAGCAGTCGGAGATGAGCTGAAAGCTTAGACACGCCGTAGAGTTACAGCCAGATGTGGTTTCCAATGGCTGAGTTAGGCACCTCGGAAACTCGAGGTTTATTAATGAAGGTGCCCGCTGAACCATAACGGGTGCTGTAATTACCTGGCTCCGGGCAGCAGGCAGTGCTGCTGCAGCCAACCATGCGCCCGGCCGAGTGGACACAGCATCTCCTGGAGGTGAGCGAGGAGGTGAAGGTCATTCCCCATGTTGACAGCTCTACAGCTTGGGTGGATGGCTGGGGGGAGATAAGGGAGCCTGAGGGTCACAGCTGATAAGAGATGAAAAGGCTCTGGGGGTGAGGAATAATGGTGTGTGAAGGGCGATGCTCTGCTCCTGGTGACAGCGCTGGGTCTGAGGATGGTCAACCAGCGACTGGGACACAGCGCAAGGTGGGAGCTGGGCCTTCCCCAGTTCAGACCAATGGGAGGAGCTCCTTCCCAAGCCCTGCATCACAAGGGCTGGTGCATAGATGGACGCCGATGCCCCAACCACCAAGCATCCCCTGCAGGGAGGAAACAACAGCAAGCAAATGAAGCTACATATACCCAAGAGCCTGCAGTAAAAGGAGAAGGGGCCACAGGGCCCTGCAGGGGGACAGGTGAACCCATGTGTCCTCCCCATCTCCACTGCATGGCCCCAAGGGCTGAAGCTATCGCCTCACCAAGGAGGCACTGCCTGGGAGCTTTTCACACCTGATTTTGTCTCTTGAAGTTTCACACCAGTGAATAACTGTGACCTCGGGAGGGGAGTGCATTGGCTGTATTTCCCAAATATCAGCAAATTGTGTGAGAGAAAGAGATATGCTAAGGGGGCAGGCTGCTCAAGCCATTACCATCCTTCTTAGTACCACTTAACTGAACCGTTAAAAAGATCCAGGGCTCCCAAAGACAATTAAGCTCAGGGGAAGCCATAAATCTCAATAAACATCAGGCCAAGTTTTCTTCACTGCTTGAAACAACAGATATAATTTCATTGGTTACTGAGCTCATGCTCCCAAAGGGATTTCAGATAAAAAGCCACTTATTCAAAACACCAAACCCAGGCTTCTCCTGTCTCTCAGGCTACCATGGGGTCAGATTTCCCAGCATGGGAACATGCGCCCCGCGGTCTGCAGAGGTGGAGCTCTGACTGCAGCAAACCTCTGCAGATTTATGATGTCTGCAGCACGGTGCTGTGACCCAGCAGTGGGGTCAGCAGCCGGCACCTGCGCTCAGGTGGCCCTGCTTGGATGCACAGGCTGCTGCTGGAAACAGCCTGCTGCTTGCAAAGCCTGCTCTGGTCCGCACGCTTGTTCCTATGGGCTGAGGTCTTGCATGGGCACAGCTACAGCCTAGAGGACACGGTGCTTTGCCAAGCCAGGTGCAACCTGTTGAAATGAGATAGCTGTCCCAGAGCACATCAGCTCTCCTTGCTGTTCTAGGGGAAAACTGGCAGCTTATCCCCGCGCTGGTCACCCAGCCTATGGCCAACACCTCTTATCCATATGTTTCCCTATACAGATATCATTGTGCCTGAGGTCCGTGTCAAGGCAGCACACGACAGCCTGCATGCCAGCCTTGCTATTTTTTACCAACAGCTTTTGCATCTGCAGGGCTGGGCCCTTGGCTCTGAAAGCTCCCTGCAAGGTCGCTCTATTCACCAAGTGCAGCTTCTTTGTGCTTTGATTTAAGTTCTTGCGTGCTTCTTGTATTGATTTCTCTCAGATGTATTTTATGGGGAATAAGCACTCAAACCAGAAGGCCAAGACCTCCCGCCTTGTGCGCAGCATGGTAATGGATGAGCTCCTTCTCACGCTCCCTCCTTCCCTCCCCACTTCTCTCACCTTTTACTTAATCTGAATCCAAAAGCACTGGGGTGAAGGATGGCCAAGGCACAGTCACGTGAAGCTTCTCTGCTCTGGGTACTCAGCACTGAGCCAAGCAGGGCACGGCGCAGCTGCAAGCAGGAGGGCTCACTGCTCAGGCTGCAGATGGTTTCCCCTTGCAGAGATGAGGGCGATCACCTCCTGGCACCCCAAGAACCCAGGGAAGAATCCACCTTCTGAAATCCCAAATCCAGCCCACTGAAATAACCATACTGTGATGAAGACGAGGAATTCAAACGTTGTGCAATACTCTTCCATCTGACGTCATGAGCTGAGCTGAGGAGCTGGGGTTTGGAAGGCAGCCTTCCCTCTGTACACAGGAGGAATAAAAACATTATTATTGTCTTTCTCAGTGAACTGCAAAGCCTGTTTTTAAATGAAACTTGAGCTCCCCATCTCATCACGTGCTTCCAGGAGCTGGAGCTTTCTGAAGACCAAATACTTTGAAACTCTGGATAAGACCATTAGAGTTGCTTAATTTCCTTTATGTCCATCTGTTTCAGTTCAGCTCGGTTGCTTCTGTCCCAGACAAGACATTTGGCTCTTCCAAATAAATCTTATAGCCCATTTGGATTAAAGACTTTCTGATGCAGCCTCTGAATATAATCCCTCTGATTTGCATCTCAAAGAAATTGAGTTAAAACCAAGTGAGAACCATACCCAGAGTGCTTGGAATTGCTGGGGGACGCGATGCGCTCGTGAGGTCCCATATGGATAATGGCACTTTTGTTTTTGATTTATCCTGAACTGCCCCGCTCCTATGGCTGTGGTCACACCAGCACGCTGCAGGACTTCCAAAGCACACAGAGTGAGAACATAACTGACTGCTCCTGCTGTTGTCCAAAGCTTGAGTTTTGCACCCGAGAAACTGAGAAGGCTGCAGAGAAAGCGTGAGACACACTTAGGAAGTGTGGGACAGCAGATCTCCCCGTAGCGACAGCAGAGGGTGAATGATGACTAACATTGGAGCTGAGTCAGGTTCAGTGCCATTCTGCTCATCAGCTCCTAATAGGTACTTTGCTCATCTTCAGAGGCAGCACCGACAGCAGTCTCAGCAGTGCTCTCTCCTATGGCTGCTCAGTGCCTGGTGCTGGGAACCTTATCATGTTTTTGTGCAGGAGAGCTCGGGTCACGGGATGCCTGGGTGCTATTCCTGGCAGTAACACAGCTCCCTCCACCCCAGGCAAACCCTTCCCCCTTTTCACGTCCCACAGTGCCTGCCTAAGAAACAGCCTTGTGAGATGCTGGAACCCCCAGATCCCCACTGTTACCTCCCATTCTGTTGGATGGGAAGCCAAGTCACAGTGCAGGTAGGTGGCACAGGTACCACCAGCCCCACGTCAGAAGGCACTGGATACAAGCAGGAATCCTAGGCAGTAGGACAAAACAGACACCCACACTCCTCATAATGACAATAATTAATCACGGGGAAGGAGAGAACAGCACTGCCCCAGCCTGAACCCTCACCCAGAAAGCCCTCATTTTCCCCCACTCTTTCACCACAGAGCAGCTCTAGCCAAGCTGACCCAGCACAGACCACCACCCTCCTCCTGCCACCACCTCAGCCCTAGAGACATTACAGAGCCATTAAAAGCCAAATTCATTTCCACAGCTGAAACCAACCGCCCGTAATACAGTATTTTTTGCAGCTGTGGTTCAGCATGGCACCTGAGAGCTGTGAGGTTAATGACACGGGGCTGTCAGCAGCCTTAATTATATTCCCATTTTTCCAGCCCCTGATTAGCTTTAGAGCTCATCTGGTGTCAGAAATTTGGTGCCTAAGCTTTGACAAAAGTGTTTCATTATTACTTAATAAATGGGTAAAGAGGGAGTGCGTGTATTTAAGCTCTGCCTCGTTAAAGCTGCTTTTTTTTATTATTATTTAACCTCACCAAAGCTCCCTACCTGGCTGGGAGCCCCATACTGGGATGCTGGGGGGGATTCAGCCCCATTATCCTCTCCCCAGACCTGGCTCCATAACCCCCATGAATGCGCCCTGTTTTGCTGGGAGCCTGCTGCTCCCCATCAGCCAACGGCCAATTAATAAGGATCATTTATTACTGTTATATCGCCTCTAAAGCAGGCCAGGTGTTTGCATAAAAAAAAATATATATATAAAAATCAAGAGATTTAAAAATAATAATAATAAAAGCACAAGCTTTACATCAAAGCCCTGAATGGCTTAAAATCTAAAGCAGAGCTTAGGTTGTTCTCCACATTCAATTTCCTCCAGCCCTCAGCACAGTTAATTAATTTGAATATTAATAATAGTGGTGAGAAGGGCCCTGAATCTTTTTCTCCTTCCCCATTGCAGACCTCGCCGTGCCTCAAAGGGGTGCCCAATTCCTGGATATTTGCCCCCAGAATCCTTGCAGCTCTCAGCCTGCGCCTTTTTTGCTTTGCAGGAAATTCCTAGAGTGAAATCAGGGCAAAACCATCCTCTCAGCACTCAGGATTTCAGCTGGCTCTGCTCTCAGGGCTGGGTGAGATGTGGGAAATCAGCGCATTGCTCTCCAGCATCGTGAGTTGGATGCACCCTTCCACCTGATGCAGCTCCCAAAGCCCCTCCTGGGTTTGTGGGCTCCTGCAGCAGCATTCTCACTCTTCTGTGAGGTTGGGAGCACAGGGCTGCCCCACAGGGCTAGATTTATGGCCCTGCTGTATTTCAGTCCCTCTGGGCTTGGCCATTTCCATGGCGGCTGCTGGAGATCAAGGCTGCTCTCGATGACGGCATCCTTGACCTGTGATCAAGCTGAAGCCAACGGAAGTTTCCAGCAACATAAGCCACTTAATGTTTAACTTCTGTGGTAGCTTCTGGAGACTGATATGATATAATTTTGGCTCTGCAAAGACAGCTTAGCTCAAGGGAGTGGACTGCAAATCATTAGCAGGACTGTTCTCACCCCAGCTCCTTGCTTTTAATTGCTGAGCAAAGCGGCATGAAGCATTCCCAGAGAGGAGCTGCAACCACATGAAATCTGCCTCATTTGTAGCTTCATTCCAGCACAGCTACATGTGATGGAAGTCAGGCTGATATTAACAGGGCCACATCCCAGGTCCGCAGTGATGGTGGGGATGGAACCGGGGTCAGAACTCATCTAGAGCCCAAAGACGGATGAGGAGCAATGACTTCTAATTGACAGAAGCACCACCCAAGCAGGAGGGATGGGATATTTTCTGCACAGCCTCCACTGCCACATGCTGTGCTCAGCACCTCTGGCAGCCCACAGAATTGACCTCAGCTCCCCATCCATACGGTGAGTCCTCATGTGGGGACAGACACTGTCTGTGTGCTCTGCAGGGCTGTGCTGAAGGGCGAGCATGGGGCTGGCTGTGCTGAGCCCTCCCAGCCTAATAACCACATTAATTAGAGCACACGGCCCCTTCTTCCCACTGTAAATCTCCATTAGCCATAAACTGGATGGGCCATAAAAGGGAGTTTACGACAAACTCACAAGGCGATACGTGTTTGGATCCTTAGCTCCGTTGCAGTTGGTAATAAAGCCTTCTTTTATTGGAGCATATACTCTGCCCTCAAGATAACATACAAGGCCCAGGGCTCCTCAAAGACATGATGCAAAGCCATTTGTTGCACTTTGATTTGCTGCAAAGCTATACAGAGGTAGGAGAGCAGAGGGAGGCGGCCAACAGGCTTCAGCTCTGCCTGTCCCAAACCACCACAGCACGCAGCATGGCAGGGTGAGAGCCTCTGTAGTGCTACATCATAAACATAGCAGGGGGCAAACTCTAGTGAACAGCTTAAAAAACTGCTTGAGATTGATAAAAACACAGACAGAAACCTGCCCTGTGAGAAGTCAGCTCTCAGAGAGTGATAGGTCGGGGTGCTGTGATGGAGGGGGTTAATGGTTAAGCTTCTGTTTTTGTTTATGAGTCTGGAGCAGATAGTGCTTCACGTCATCAAAATAGGTGCAGACTCTTTGAGGAGCATAAGGGCCAGGCCTGGAGGAGATCTGTAGGCATCAAAGTCCTAGGCAGGGCATCTGGAAAAAAAAAGGACCAAAAAAAAAGAAAAGGAAGTGAGGAAAGATGAATACCTGCAGCTGGTGGGGTGCCTGGGCACCAGCCCATGGGGTACCTGGGCACCACACATTGTCCTCTCCCCTGCTTCTCTCAGCAACGTTTGTTGGCTGGAGGATAAACATCAGCATTGCCTTGGGTGCAACCCATTCCCTATCTCTGCCCTCCTCCTGGGTGATGCTCTCCTCAAAAAAAGGAACCCAAAGTCCTCAGGCGTGCACTTCCCTTCCAAAGGCAACAGCACACTCGTTAATCCCAGCTCAGTCTGAGGCAGCCGCAGACACCGGTATGAAATCATCGCTTTTATTTAGTTCAGCAGTTAGGTATGATTGTTCTGAACTGCGATTCAACCCTGCTCCCTTCCATCTCCGGCGGTGTTAAAAGTAACAAGTCTATCACCTCTGGAGCCATTTCTCTGTCGCTCGCATCTTGCTGGAGCTGCAGAGTTTTGCTGGAGGGCTTCATCTCTTCCAGACAGCCACCTGTCAATTATCCCTCTGCCCGACAAATAAAATAAGCAGCCGCAGACTGTACACACAATAGCTGTCCCCATGTGTTTGCAGCAGACCTGCTGGAGGAGCTGAGCCGATGTTCCACACACACGGCTCCAGCACTGCAGTCTGGGCTTGCCTGCAAGCTGAACCCCCACACACTGCTGCCTTTATGCTGGAAGATATTTCCATCTGACTGCTAACACAGAAGATTTTGGGGCCAGTGCTGGACCAGCATTCAGTGTGATCAGACCTGGGAGGGACCTGCCCTGATTCCTGGTGGCAGCACCACTCCATGGTTCTTCATGGCTCTATTCCTGACTAACCATGATGGGTAGGTTTGTATTCATACACATGTGTAATTTCCCTTTTGTCCTTACACATATTGCTTTCTAACATGGGCACAGGCACTTTCCATACACCAGCTCTTCCTCTTCCATTGATTTCCCATTGGTCTCCTCATTCCAACGACCTGTGATGGATGGAGACACGATGGATGAATGGATGGAGCACCAGCCCTGCTGATCTCATGTCCCACAGCTACGTCTTCCAAGCCATCACCTTGACATCCTCAGAATCTCTCTCTGACCCAGTGTAGCAATCACTAGGGTTCATCTGGGACATCAGCAGGTCTATGAGTGATTCCACAAAGCCTGGACCCCACACTTCCAAATTCCCATAGAATCATAGAATATCTCAAGTTGGAAGGGACCCGTAAGAATCATCGAGTCCAACTCCTTATGGAAAGCTCCAAAACCACCCTGCACTACCTGCTGTGCTTGGCCTCATCTAGGACAGCTCTCCATGTGCTCCCCATTTAGATCCTTTCCCAGCCAGGTCTACAAGCCTCGAACTTCAAGGAAGAAAAATAGAATCATTAAGGTTGGAAAAGACCTCTAAGATCCCCATGTCCATCCTCAACCCACCCCACCATGCTCACTAACCTCAGTGCCACATCTCCATGGCTCTGGAACACCTCCAGGGACCAGGACTCCATCACTCCCTGGGCAGTTCCAAAGCATTACCACTCTTCCAGAGAATAAATTTTTCCAACCTGAGGAGCTGGAAGGCTTCACGAGCACTGAAGCCCCAGGTCTGGCTTTTTAAAGATGAATATTCCACTGAGAAATTAGTCATTGTTTTTTGTGGCTGTTTTACAGAGACAGAAAAGAAACTGATGTAACAGCAGACGGCTCTGAGAAAGCTGTCTGAGCAACACACCTTGCCCCTCTCTGAGGCACCCATCCCACTCCTCCGACTCCTGCAGAGAGCCTCACGTGGCCATGGGGCTCCCAAGGGAGTGGGGAGGCCAAACAGATCAAGCTGGGAGCCTGCAGCCAAGCCTGGATGAGACTTTGGTCTCTCTTTTCAGCCCTATGCCACTGCCGTGCTGCTCCTGCTACCGAGTGCCTGGCAGTCACAGGGCCATAACAAACATTACTCATCCCCATCCAGAGCTTACCAGCTTCCAGCAGTCACACATGACGCATGTGTTTACCACCAGTGGGAGGGTTTTATATATATCTATATGCTTTTACTGCAGTAAGAGTCCCTGTTTCTGAGGGCAGAGGAATTATTACCCGACGCTTTCATGGTATAACAAAGAGCATATGTTGTACCCAGCATAAATTTAGCTTCTGATCTGATGAGCAAGATTATTTTTTTCCCCCCCTTCTCTGCCTCTAAATGTACAGATGAGTGCTCGCATTCGTCCCTAATGGCAGTGAGGAAAGGGAATGCTCAGAGCAAGCAGCACACGCACACAAACACATGCACAGAGCTAGAAAAACACCCCGGGTTTCTAAATCTACCCAGCAATCCCACAGTAATCTGCTCAGTCGTAGTCACAAATATAACTCAGGGACAATAAATAAGCTAACGGGAGTTAAATTAGTTCAGCTCCTTAACCTTTGGACGGATCAATCCCTGCGTTATCTCGTTTCTCCCCAGCCCCTCTCCATCCCCCACACCTTGTCCCCTCCCTCTTTGCACTGTGTTGGTGCCAGGCAGTGGGCAGACACACAAGGAGGTGGCAGAGAGCCGGGACACAGCAGAACAGTGCTGCAGAGAGGTGTATCACTAACCACTTCCTTTCTGAAAACAGTGTGTGTGTGTAGAAGCAGCAGCAGGGTTCACTACCTGCTGGCATCCCGTGCCTTGCAGGGCTCTCAGACCCATCAGATGGATGCAGTTGGAGTACATGTGAGGAAAATCCCAAATTTAAAAAGGGCCCAAAGGAGCAATTTGCAAACGGTCCTCAGTTCCCACAGTCAGCATAGGATGCTCAGCCCTTGCAGAGGGCTTTGAGCTCCTGAATTTCCCTCTCAGGCAGCTGGGAATTGCATCCCCTGGGTGTCCACAGGGAGGGATCTGTGTGCGCCCAGCCTGTGTGGACCAGCAGGCTGCTTGTCAGCTCTTCCTGCCCCTTGCTGTGACTCATTCTGTGAATGAAAACACACCCATGGGGAAAGTATGAGCATCTGAACGAGATGCCAGCCAGCAGACACTGCACTGGAAGGAGGCGGGCAGGTAATGCGCACATCTCAGTGCATCCTGACAGCACGCACACCACCCAGGTGGCAGAAGGTTTTCCCCTTCGAGCCTCTCAAGAATGGGGCAACTCCAGCATCACCCCTGCTGCCATCTCACAGCCCTTCCCAAGGGAGTGACACTGCTATCTCCCTTCTGTGGGACCACAGAGGCTGTCTCTGAGCAAGGAAAAAGAAGCTGCTTTCCAGTCCTCCACCCCCAGAAGATGAGTTGGAGGAAATTAACAGTGATGCACAACTGAAAAAATTGAACGGTTAGAGGGAGTTCAAAGCTGAGCCAGTCTTGAGACATCTGCACACCACATGCCAGGCTGAGAAAAGTGCTCATAAATCCTTCCAGGCTGGCACCGATGGAAGGGAGCTCAGAGCACTCAACCCAACTGGGAGAATTCCCAGTGCTTCTGTTCTGAGACGGCTGAAAACTCCATGGAAAGGCACAAGTGAGGGAAGGAAAGCAGCTCAGTAGGAAACATTGAGTCATCCCAGTTACCTTGGTTTTATAAATGGTTACTGTTCCAGTTAGCAGAATGTCGTGTCCATTGAAAAGTGCATTTCATGATTCAAACACAGATTTCCAGCAAACCTGGGGATGACAGGATAAGCATGATATGAGTCTTTGTACAATAGGAAGGCAGCTGTGAACTAACATGGTAGAAAAAAACAGAGCCCAGCTTCCTGGAGGAAAGCCCATTCTTCCAATAAAAGTGAAGGAACCTGCACTGGGTGAAAAATGTCAATCCCCTTTAACAGAGATCAATAAGGCAATGGGATCGGTCTGCTCACACCAGCTGCCACTGATCTATAGCTGTTTGCAGAAGCTTTCATTCTGCTTGTCTTTACAACTTGGCTAATAGGAAAAACTTCACAGTGTTAAAAAGAAAAGTGAGTGAACGACCCAGGAATCAAAAGTGGAGGAGCTTTGCAGCTGAGTGGCCTCAAGATGCTGCACGCTGGAGGTGCCAACCAGGCAGCAACCCAATAGTAAGGTCCCAGGATGCAGCAAGTGAGGATTTGCTCAATTGCAACAGCCATGAATACAGAAATAAAGAAAACAAAAATAAAGGAAAGAAGCTGCTTACCTTCAAAAACCTCAGTGCATAGGGATCTCCAGCAAGAACCCTTACTCCCACTGCCAACCCTTAAGTGAGGTCTGGGCAGGGGTGGATCCTGGCTCCAGCCCTTCTGGCCACTCAGTGCATTGAATGCACCTGAGCTGCCCTGGGTTGGCCCTGCCTTTCCACCAGGTGCTCAATCACTGCTTCAAGCCCTGACTTAGCATTTCTGCCACAGCTGCCATGCCTAAGCTTTCTCAGTTGCTCTCACTGCAGACGTTGCTTTCTCCCAGAAGAAAGTGGGGCTAAAGGCAACTTGAAGACATGACCTGTGCCTGCCAGGTGGCTGCTCTGCTGGTCTTTGAGTATGGAAATGGCTGGTGGCCTCTAAGTACAACAGCAAGATGCCCAGAGCTCCCACAGAGGAACAGCATGGGAGGAGATGGGGCTGCGTTCTCACAGATAACGACCCCCAGGGACTGCAAATAAACTGTTGGCAGCAGAGTGACCCACAGTATCCCTGGTTCACAACCCCCTCTACTCCACCAAAGAAACCCAAACCAACCCAAATCCGCTCCCAACACCTCAAGCATCACCACTGTCTGGTGACGAGAACCAGAAGCACAAAGCGTGGTTTGGGCTCAGCAGACAGATGGGCAGAAGAATGGGATGGAGCCTGGTGCCCCGGGCATGCTGCATCCATCTCTCTGCAGGAGCCTCCCAGTCTGACACCGCTCATCAGAGCACTCAGTCTGCAGAAGCCCTTCAGAACATAAGGGCTCCCATGGGGATGCTCGAGACCAGACTTTCCTAAAGCGCTCAGCAAACACCTCACGCTCTCTGCTTTTTGGAAACTCTGACACACACAGCTCTCGACACTGCTGTCTCATATACGTATGGCTGACTCAGATAGATATATGGCTGGCTTAGCATACTTCCCTTTCTTCCTCCCCTCCCCCCGGAGTTTTGCATGTCTGAGGCTGTTTCGGATAAAAGATACCAAAAATGAAAATGCATTTGGGATGTCTGGGAACCAAGAAGTCAGACTGCAAGAAAACCAGACAGGGTTAGAGCCCCAAATCCCCGTCTCCTGCCAGCAATCTAAACCCTCTGCTGACTGCAGGTTCCAAGGCTCCATTTGCTCCACGGCAGCAGCAGCAGTAGCTATTTCAGAAGTGTATTCCATCAGCAGTAATGGGTCTTTCCTCATAAGCTGTGTTTTCATAGTAAATCTTCGGTCTTACATTGCATTACAGAGTTCAGCTGCCGCTAATCCTTAAAAACAATTCATTTCCAACTGCAAAGTGCAATAAAGAAAGGATAATCACTATTAATATTAGTTATTGTTATTGATTTCAGCTTTAAAGAATTGATTTTCAGTCCCAGCTGCATTTATGAGTCTCTTTGCTGAAGATGCATACACAGAGCCCACCGCTGTTTTCAGACCCTTGCCCCAGCTCCCGGCCATGGACGTGGTGGGAAGAAGATGGCTCTTCCCTGGTGATGCTGCCACAAACCTGCCCAGATTGGGGACATTGCTTCTGGGGTTGCAGCCCCAAATAATAAAACCCCCTTCTTTTATTCAGTTTCACAACGGAGCAATTCTGTGACTCAGTGCTCCCATGGAGGGGTGGCAAGCAGCCCAAAGTGGAGTCGCTGTGGTTGGAGGGCAGGGGATGCCAACTCCACGGGTTCTATTCTACACATCCATGGCAGCTTCCTACATGCACGCAGAGGAAAGCACGGAGATTAAAAAGAAAAGCATTATTGCTTCCTAACTGTGATTCCTACGATACCACTGAGCCTTCCAAACCCTTCCGGAGCTGTAAATTCAGTTTTAAAGTCTGCTCATGAGGATGGCTCTGCCTGGAACTCCCATTCCACTCGCCTTCACAGCTCCTTCAAAAGACAAATAAATGGCCTTGGGGCAAAGAACCCCCCATGGTGAAAGGGCAGAACCAGGCTCTGCCCCACTGCAGCACTCCCATAGCAATGCATGGGTGCAGTGGGTGCCCCAAAGCAGCTGATATGTGTGATGGGGGGTGCCAAGATGGGAAACAACTGCTGAGAGGAAGAGAGAAATATTTCACTTCCCTCTTTCTAAGGTGAAAACTGGGTGGCTGTTTTCGAATCGATGTCTTGCTTCAGAAGTCACTGAAGTTTTGGTTCGAGGGCATCGATGTTAAGAACCTCAAAAGCAGAAAGGGTTTGGTTTGCAAATCTGGAGAAACCAGAGCCATTAAGGCTGGAAAAGAGCACTAAGGCCATCAAGGCCAACCATCCATGTTTTGTGTCAATGTCAGCGGGCTTGCAGTGGAAAGGTTTCCAACACATGGCTTTGGAAAGACATTCTGGAAGCTGTTTCCATCCCTGCCGACCTGCAGCCAACCCTACTCTTCCCTCCTGTTGTTTGGAAGAGAGACATTAAAGAAAGTCCTCCATATTCAGCTCTCATGGCCTTGAGTTTTAAAAGTCTCCCTCGGAATACTTGGAATATAACCCAGTGGGGATGTAGGAATGAAATTGGGATAAAAAACACCACAGCCAAGACTGAAAAATAATTAAATGAGCACTCAACCACCATCATTATTTTCCACAATTCCTATGTATATGCTAGATTGGATACAATGGTCTTGAATTGTTCCACACTATTACTGTGCTATAAATTATTTGAGAAAAGCACGGCAAGGCATCGTAATGTAATATATTTTTATAGTGCCATAAAGTAATTATGTGCCAGACAACAAAATCTTACAGAAGTGACATATTTTATGCTTAAATTGTAATTACATTAAAAGTGTCTCTTCCATTAAATGTTTATAGAGCGCACACAATTGCTGCTGGTCGACTTGTGAACAAAGACAACTGCACAGACAGAGCAGGGAGATGCACCAAAGGGATCACGGAATCACCACATGGTTTGGGTTGGAAGGGGCCTTTAAAGGTCACCCAGCCCAACTCCCTGCAGTGAATTTTGGCATTTTTGCTGTGTTTTTGGCCAAAGCTCACAGTAACATCACTGTTTCGTGGCCTGAGCTCTGCTGCCTGGCTGAACAACCCGTCAGTGTCCCATGAGATACGGAGTTGGTTCCTCTTCTGGAAAAGAGGAATGGGACGAATTGCCAGGGGTGACACTAGGACTCCTGCAGTTCCAGTTGCAAGAAAGCTACAACTTCTCTTGACTGCGGCTCAAATCAACATCTTCCAATACCATTCTCCCATTGATCTTGCAGTGTTTCAGCACAGAACAGACAATCACATCCTCAGATTTGCTCTTGGAGCCAGGAGTGCCTCTTCCATAGAAGGAAGAGCTCAGAGCTGTGGATATTTGCTTTAAAGCTGTATGGGCTGCAGCCCACAGGAAAGGCCCCCATCCCTCCAAATGGGGTGCAGGGATTTTTCTTAGCTCTTGTCTAGGTTGGGTTAAAACAGGCCAAAAAACCACATGGGGAGGGAACTGCCCTGAGCCCATTGCTGCTAACAAGGCAAGGGGGTGGTTTCTGCACGGATGCCGCAGAAGAAGTGAAAAGAGCAATGTGGCAGCAAAGGCCCCACGGCCATCCCCTGCTGGGCACTCTCCTGGGAGCAAAGCTCTGCATCGAGGCCATGTGGGAGCACCTCCCACCTCCCCAGCACTCACCGAGTGCTACATGCTTGTGTCTGGCAGTGGGATAATGGCTCGAGTCTGCAAGGAAATGGCTTATGTGGTTTTCAGCCCAGCTTTTCCTGGAAAGTGCCCAGCTCCCACCTCCCAGCTCTGTGCTCTTCCTGCGTGACTCACTCGGGCACACAGCATCCCAAAGGTGGGTGTTTGCCACGCTCTGAAGGAGGTGACATCTTTTCAGGGAGCACGGCTTAGGCAAAACAGCAAGAGGAGAGGACAGGGACAAGAGGGGACCTTGGCTTTGCCATCTCAGCTTGGCTTCGTGCCATTGTGAGACCTTTAGAAGTGACTTTGCTCTGCATGCCTCAGTTTCCCCCTCCAGATGGGAGCTGTGCACAAGGACAGGAGTACAGGATGAGCAACTAACACTGTGCAAACAGTGCCACACACAGGAGCGGTGCGAAGATACACGAAGTGCCCTTCCGAAGGCATCGACACCCGCAAATCCCACGTGAGAAGTGAGGGCAGTCAAACAAGGCTTTGCACAGGCTGCGTTTGTCTCTACTCAGCTGCCCCCAGCCTGTCTGTCTGTCTGTCCAGGAGGAGAAAGCAGGGTTAAGTTCAGCCCTCTGAGCTGAAATATTCCAAACGTAAGGCGGATGTGGCATTTCCCAGGCTGCATGGAAATCAGAGACACATGCAGCCATGGCCATGGCAGCACGTGTGCAGGGTTTATATGGAGGAACCGCACTGCCTGCTTTTTTTTCCTGCTTAAACCCATCCAGACTGAAGCACTCCAGCCCTAAGTCATGCTGCAGTATGGGGTTTCTCCCGTAGGACAGGAGGCATGGAATCTGCCTTAAGTTCTTGACCTGAAGGCAGTGTCTTTTTGCAATGAGCTCCCAATCCCCACCAGCTCTGGAGCTTTCTCTCCCTCTGCATCCTGCCAGAAGCTATGCAACAACAGGAAACTGTTGGAGGGACTGCTCTGCATTAGCTACAATGCAACTACTAGCTGCAGCCTGACAAAAGCTTCCTGCACTCCTTCCCAGGCAGTGAAGATGTGGCCTCAGGCAGAGGTCGGAGGTGATCATGTGTTTTATAGCCCTGGGTACCTCATCCATCCCACTGCTCCCACTCATCTTCTGCATCCCCATAACTCCTTTCTTTGCACTTTCAGCTCCTGCTGAAGGTTTCCCCTCTGCTCATCACTCAGCTCAGCAATGGGACAAACCCTTTGGCACCAACCCCAACAGCAGACAGAGGTCCTGGGGAAGGTCCCCACTTTGCCTTGCATCCTTACTGCTGCATTCTGCATTGCTAATGAAGAGCAGCACTGCAGGCAGCGTGTCTCTGTAGGGCTATCAGCCTGCTCAGATGGTGCCAGGCACTCAGCCTCCAAACCTCCCACATTACAGCAGCTCTTGAGGCATGCAATAATCTGTCAGGAACGCAACATCTGCCACACCACCCTGGAAGCATATATTTTGGAGCAGCATCTATCGCACTGAAGTGGCCTTGTGTCACCCAGGAGAGGCTGGGACACGTGGTCTTCTCAAAGAGCCATCAGCCAGATGTACTTTGCCTGGTGATGCACCTACACTTAAACTTCCCTATTTTTCCCTCCTTCCCAGTGCCCCCAGAGCCAGCAGCTGGGATGAAGGAGGTGCTCAAGTGCTTTGTTCCCTGTGGGATTCAGACTGAGGTGTTACTCCCCACTGAGCCCACCCTCAGCCTCACTGCATATTTGGGCCCTGTGATATCCATGCCCATCCCACAGCCAAAGCCCACAGACAAACCCCAGGAATTTGGATGCACCCCATCCCCATGCCAAGGCTTGCCTCGCTGGAGGGGCTGCTTCTGAACCCACAGAAGGGCTGGGGGGATAGAGAGGGCTGGGGGAGGTATAGAAACCAAAACAGAAACAGAGCTCAGAGGGAGGGGGGGATCCTTGTTTCCCATCCTTGGAGTGCCCCCAACAGCAGCTGGAGCCCAGGGGCTGCCTTCACCCCCAGCACCCACCCTCACTCCTCGAATCCTGGCAGCGCACAGCCTGTGCTTTCCTCCCACTCCAGACAAACCAGCCTTTATCTCCCCACTAAGTGGGCAAGAGGTGCCTCTTCCGACGAAGGCTGCCGCGGGCAGGACGCACAATGGCTCTTTGTAGCTGCTATCGAGGAAGCTGTGAGCCTGAGGAGCAGAACAGGTTTGCCTACAGGCTGAGCAAAGGCCGAAAATCCTCCTGGCAGCAATAATCCATGGATCTGAGTATAAGAAAACCCCCCATCCCCTGTAATTTGGATGTGGGACAGCCTTAC